GCATATATTGAATAAATTGGCTCATATATGATAAGTCCAGCAGGTAAAGAGTGTTTCAAGTGCAATTATATAAAGGGGAATGGATGGATAGATAGATGATTGATAGATAGAAGAGAGATAGATAAATTCACCTTTTTTATTATAACGATGTGGGGTACAATTCAGGATTAGGTATACAAACATTGATTATGCAGGTACCCTTGTTGATGAGGTATACCCTTCTCTCCCCTAGCAGTTTCCCTCAACTGCCTATCCCACCCCCTCCCCTGACAGTTTCCCATTACTGCTAAATGCTTTTTAATAGTATTATAATTGTTCAAGTTCTGCTTATGAATGAGAACATATGGTACTCTGTTCTTTGTTTCTGTGATAGATCACTGAGTATGATGGACTCTAAAGTGGCTGCGAAGTCCATATGTTTGTCCTTCTTTATGACTGCATAATATTCCATTGTGTATACGTACCACATTTTTTAAAATCCAGTCCAGCTTTGATGGGCAGCATGGTTGGTTCCATGTTTTTGCTATTGTGAAGAGAGCTGCAACAAACATATGTGTGCAGGTATCTTTTTTGTAGAATGATTTGAGTTCCTCCGGGTATATTCCCAATAGGGGAATTGCTGGATCATATGAAAGACCAATTTCTAGTTCTTTCAGAAATCACCACACTGTCTTCCAAAGAGGTTGCACTAGCTTGCATTCCCCCCAGCAGTGTAGAAGTGCTCCTTTTTCTCCACATCCTTGCCAGCATCTGTTGTCATTTGTTTTATTAATGATGGCCATTCTTACTAGGGTTAGGTGGTATCTCAATGTGGTTTTGATTTGCATTTCTCTGATGATGAGTGAGGCTGAGCACTTTTTCATATGTTTGTTGGCTACCTGTATATCTTCTTCTGAGAAGTGTCTATTCATGTCTTTTGCCCACTTTTTAAAGGGGCTGTTTGTTTTTTTTCCTTTCGGCATGTTTAAATTCCTTGTAGATCCTAGATGTTAGGCCTTTGTCAGATATACAGTTGGCAAATATTTTTTCCCATTCTGTGGGCTGTCTCCCTGCTCTCTTGATGGTTTCTTTTGCTTTGTAGAAGCTCATTAGTTTGATGAGGTCCCAATTGTCTATTTTATAAATTCACCTTTCAATGCATCTTCTCCCTATAAAGAAAGAAGTCTGCTTCCTACAGGTAAAGATAGAAAAGCTGTCCCCCTAGGCACCCAAGTGTGCTCCTGCAACCTTGCTAACACCAGCCCTGCTGCCCACCAGCTGGTCCCCATGCCACCACTACCCATGCATGGCCATGCTTCCGCTACACCATGGCTGGCCGTTCCCTTTCCTGGCCATCCTTTAGGTGGAAACTTGCACTCCAACTCATCTAGGGAGCACAGCGAGTGCTTTGCTAATGAATTCCCTAGTATTTTGACACAGTCAAGTGGCAAGGTAGGTTTTCCTTTCCCCCGCCCTTTCCTTCTTAGGGAATAAAATGAGGCACACTCTTAAGAACTTTTAGCAGAGCACAAGGGTCGTGACATAATGGAACCTGTCTACGCGTTGGGAAGAGAGGTTCATCTTATAGAGACATGTCCTCAGATGCAGGGCCCAAGGTGTGTACCTCTCATCCCTCCTCCCCAGCTCGAGGGATGGGGATGGGTGTTGGAGACTGGAAACGGACAACTTGCAGTTACGCCAGCTGAGAGAAGGGGAATTAAGCTTCGGGATAGGGCAAAAAGGCCCTTAAAGGAGGAGGAGAAGAAACAGGGAGCCCTAGAGGGAGAGACTTTAGGCCCATCTGAGGCAGGCTCCTGGGGACTTGACAGGAAAGCACAAAACTTGGAAAAGAAAAAAACCTGCTGGCTCCTGCCTCTGTTCTGCCTGTTTAATCCTTTCAGTCAGATGTTCCAGGGTCCCTTTTCCCCTTTCCCAATGCTACAGAGGAAAAGGACAGCATTATATGGCACTGGTTTGCAACTGAACTATTTTGTATGGTTTCCTTTCCAGTTCATGTTCTCCGCTATCACACTGCCACCAGCACCCCAGGAGCCCCAGTGAAGCATTTTTCTTCTGTTATAATGCTGCCCTCTGCTGGACATTAGGAAATTCACAGGTGAAGATGGGGTTTGTCCCTCAATTTTTGTTTTGATGTGATTTAGTGAATAGGGATCAAAATTCTTTGGGGGGGAAAGGGGGAGAGGGGAGTTTCCCTAAGAAGGTAATTTTTTAAATTTTATAATAAGAAAAATGATTAAATATTTCATGTTTTTACAATGATGGAAAAGCAGAGGTGATTGTGAAACACGCTATGTACCGCCATTGCCAATGGGTGTGTCAAGACGTGGCTCTTTAGGAAAGAGGAACATAAGAGGGATTTTAAGAGGGCATAACCTTTGGCTTAGCTCATCTCCTGCAACTCTGGATGCCATAAATAACATTTAAAAATAAAAGTATTTATTTCCAGAGTTGCTCATCAAATTATGACCATAAATGGCCAGGATCAGACTTACAGTTAAAGAGATTATGACACGTCCACACCAGGCAGAAAGCAAAGCATATTTTTTATATGGGGATCTTCTAACAGCTTGAAAACCACATATGCCACTCTATTAAAACTCAGTGTCTCTTAATCAGGGTGTGCATTAAAATATCTGAAAATGGAAAATATGAACTTCTAGGTCCCATCCAAGAAGATTCTGCTACAGTTGGACTGGCAAATGGCCTGGTCAAGTGATTCTACTTACCCCCAAGATAGAATCCCTGACTTAAATGGGGGGAAAAATGAACACCAAGCAATACTCACGCGCCAATTTTAACTCCATAAAGCATCTGATGGTGTGTGAACAGAAAGAAGGAGGGAAGAAAGCCCTATATCTGAATGACTTGGGAATGTTCTCTCCCTAGCAAGACACCTGCCAAAATTAGAACCATATTTGAGGATGCTGGGACTGCCAGCAGTATATAAATGATGTGTGTAATGCCATTTAATATGATAGTATTTTAAAAAATGAGTTGAGTGGTGTTTTCTAGCTGTTAGTTTTTCCAAATATCAATGTAGAAATTAGTCTTCTGCAGCTGCAGAGGCAATTGAATTTCCAGCTTGCTCACATGTGGCTTAGTCCCGTTTTCCAGAACCATAAAGTGGCCAGGCATCTTCAATCCACCCCTCCCATGGCCATCTCTGCCAGAGACAACCAACACCTTGAACTGTCTGGTGAGAGAGGTGGGCAGTATGGCAGAAAGAGTCCTGCTCTGGAGAGACAAGAGACTTAGGGCTTGGGTTTTGACTTACTCACTGAATGATCTTGGGTGAATCCCTTTACCTCTCTGCAACTCACTGTAAAAAGAGAGGTCAGGGGTCCAAACTTAAACACCTTCAGGGGTTGGGTAGTATCAGTGAGTGAAGAGGGTCAGGCACTGGACAAAGGGGAGTGGTGAGGACTGTGGAGAGTTAAGAGCTTGTGCCTTTGTAAAGTGGACAGTCACTACTCAGGTCCTATAGATTACTCCACCTTTGCTGAGAAAGCTTGGGCAGGTTGTGCACTGCAGAAGAGTAACACTTCAGAGGAGGTGTCGTTCACATCATAGATGCAGGTATTTGTCAATGACAATTCCCTGGAAGATGTCTATAAAGGATTTTGAGGAAGGGTTCCTTTTAATATGCACAAAGGTGCTGTATGGACTGTCAGAAGAACTGGTCATCAGGTGGAAATGCAAATCTATTATTGCCAGATCTTTGCGGGGGGCGGGGGGTGTTTGCTTGCTTTTCTGGAGACACTGGAAATATGGCTTTTAATGTAAAATTTGCCTAATTTAAAATTAGCTGACAAATCATTCCAAAACATTTTTAACAACGTGTGGGTTCAGCAAAACACTTCCAGGGGTCAGATTTAGGCTGAGTTGGGGATCTCCAACCCAGATAACTGCAAGTACTGGCATCTCAGAAACCGTTCTATTCTACATACCTCATATGCAACCTTGAAGCAATCACAAAGAAAATCTAATTACCCTGGTGAAGAATATGACTATAATATGGATTGTAGGAATATGAAAAAGTATGAGTACATCCTCTAAATAGTAGTATTATTCTCCCTATCTATCATATGACCAACTTTAATTCATCCTTTCTTAATATAAAAGCTATTTCTCCAGAGAGGGCCTCCTAAGACTTCAATCTAATTTGGATTCCCTCTGTTACACTCTCTTAAAACATCTTGCTTTTCTTGGGTAGCACTTACCAAATTTGTGTCCCCAGATACCCACTTGTGTGCATGTTTGCTTAATGACTGTTAGCTCACTAGTTGGTAGGAGCCATGTTTTTGTTCACTGCTGTACCCCCAGTAGGCCTGTGTCAGGTGCTAATTGTAAAGTTATTGGATGATGGATTAGTCTGGACTCCATAAAGGAAACCTCTTTTCTCCTTGGCATCCCTGATCCTTTGATGTCTGAAGTTTGACTTTTAGGTTCTTGACCTTGGATGATGTCAGGTTTCCGTTGCTGAGGATGCTCTTCAGCACATCACCCTCTCCCACGTATCTCACTGAACCATCAGAGAGACCCAGCTCAATGTCCAGGACACTCATACTTGACCTGTGACTGAACTCCCCTGGGTTGGGGTTGGTGGACTCACATTTTGGGGCACTCACACAGACACCTTCTGTGATAGAAATTTCACATCATCTTGGTGCTGGTGAAAGAGCACCAGCAGAGAATTAAATTATGTTCCCTGTGCATATTTTACATTCTGATTTTACTTCATATTAGTAACAAGATCATTATTATGACAACTGATAGGCCAGCCCTTCTCCAGATTTACTGAAGACATCTTGTTGCTTTCCAAGACAAATAGCATTTTTGATATTGAAAAATATTCCATGAACTATCAGCCAAAGACAAATAGCATTTTTGATATTGAAAAATACTCCATGAACTATCAGCCAAAGCTGTTTATTCCACAAAGATCCTCATAGAAAGCAGCTAAACTCAGAATGAAGCTAATGATTGTGGGAGAAATTGCAGAGGGAAAGGGAAGCCAAAATCCCACAAAGATAATTTCTCAAGAAGTCAAAGAACAAAAGAAAGACAGGAGGAGAGACAGGAAGGTTAAAGGGGAAAGAGGACTGAGGAGAGCTTCAGAAGTGGACAATATCAGAGGGAGGGTGCTGGTCCAAAACTTCACTCTCCGCTCTTTCAGTTTCTCTCCAAGGCTCGTGTTCAAATCCAGCTTCAGGTACTCCTCGGTCCGATTATAGGCCGGCCACAGAGGCAAGCCAGCCCCGTTAGGATTTCTGGAAGTGAAAGCAGAAACAGGGATGGGAGTTTCCTCTTCCAACACCCTGGCATGGAGGAGGTCCTGAAGAGCGCGGGAGGCTAGGAGGTCCACTTACCCGGTTCGAGCAAAGTTAGCCCAGTACTTCATCATCATCCTGCTCAGCAATTTCTCCTCCTCGGTGGCTCCTTCTGGAGGAGATAATCACCAAAGCCAGCTGTTCTCAGTTATGCGCCAGACCACAAGGTGCTTAACTTTTGATGAATCCCTTCCACATCTCCCCTCTGCTGGATCCTCACAAGCCTCCCAAGCCATCGCCCCTTTTGTATCTGCAGATCTCAGGGCTCAGAGTGACCGCGACTTGACCAAGGAATCAGGGCTTCCAAATAGTAGAGGCTGACCACACATCTTCCCTGCCTACCTTGTGTTTTTCCAGCCATTCCCATGAGGCTGTGGTTTCCTTGTAGACACAGAACACGCCTCTCTCTCTCTCTCTCTCTCTCTCTTCTCTCTCTCTTTCCCCCCCTTCCTCTTCCCTCTTTCTCTTTTGCTCTCACTCACACACATATACATTATTTTTTTATTTGAAAAGTGCAAAATACAAAATGCAGAAAGAGTACTTAAAGTCTAGTGAAAATAAGCTTCCCTCCCATGTCTTTCCTCCAGATACCCAGTGACCAGCCTCAGAAGCAGCCATTGTCACCAACTTCCTAAGACAGTCTCTGCACATGCCAGGGGATAAGTGGACACTTTTCTACACATTTGGTAGTAGATTGGACAACATATTTTAAGTCTTGCTCTTTCTACTAAAATTAATCTTCTATTATATCTAGACTGTCACCTATAAAGCTGCCATTTAGTGTTCTACGAACATATAATATATAAATAAGTATATTTATGTGCAATAATATATACATATGCCATATATCATGTTTCAAATCCTTTGCTGGTAAAAGCAATGCTTTAGTGAGCACAAATATTTTTGCACAGAAAATTCCAGAAGTAGAATTGCCAGGCTAAAGACAATATGAATTTTAAATGTTGATAGAGTTTTCTATTAATGTATGAAATGGTTTCTCGTTTTAAATATTTTGTTTTTTCCAACCTTGATTGAAGAAAAATGATTCCTCAGCCAAGGTTAGCCTGCAGTTCTCTTGGGACACGTGAGGCTGCATGTATGTTTATATGTTAAAAGTCACTTGTGCTTCCTTTTCCTTGAACTGTCTGTTAATATCTGTTGCCCAGTTTTTAATTAGGTTTCTCTTTTCTCATCAGTTGTGGAAAACTCTTTAGATATCCAGGAATTTAAGCCTTTGATACATATGTTGCTTTTTTTTTTTTTTCCAGTTTGCAGAGCTCATGTTCCGTCAATAGGCTCAGGAGTGGTTGTTGAATAATAACAGTAACATTTATTCGGCACTTATTGTGTGCTTTGTGGGAATGGTTTTATTGAATCCTTATGAGAGCTAGGAAGTAGTTCTGTCATTATATGTGTTATGAGATGAGGATGAACAAATGAAATAATGACTAAACAACAGTGTACACACAAACTCTGTATGGGAGGCTGTGTCTTCATTGCCAAGAGGCCAGACCACAAGGTGAATAAGTTAAGGGCCAGCATTGTATAGTTTTTTTTGGGGGGGGTTAGAAAGCAGGATTTATTGGAAGAACAGAAAACTCCCTCAGTAGGAGGAAACCCAAAGGGATTGCCTGTGCAATGTTTTTAATGAAACATTTCAGTGATGGTTCCTGTGTGTAATTTTCCTGTATTTTTTTTTCTATGAATATAGCCTCATCTGACTGGGTAATTATTTTAGGCATTTACTATGTCATAAATTCAGGAATAAATGAGCTAACATTTGCAAGTAATATTCATAAGCGTTTGCATGAGATCATCTGGATCCAGACCACTTTGAGCTAGAATTATGAAAAACGTGGTCCCTGTCTTTTAAAGCCTTGGGTGGTGGCCTCATGGGATTTCTGGGAAGGAAAGGGAGGGTAAGACCAGTGGTCAGAGAGGAGGAAGAAAATGGTTCTAATATTTTTTCAAAACTGGAATTGCTTGAGTGCCTGAAGTGCCCACCCCTGTAGGCTTCAGTACAAAGAGAGGCACTCATCGAGCAAATGTCAGCAGGATTTTTTCATCTTGGTTTCTAAAAATAGGAGTGGGGGCATTTTCCAGGGAAAGGTTGTATCTGCCTGTAAACCATAGAGATGATTAAATCCCAACCTGCCAGTTCTCCTCCAGGCTTTTGTGTGGCGGTGGGGTGAGCAAAGGGTTTCGTGTTAACTGTGGGGAGTCGAGTCTTATCCCCACCTTATCTCAAGTTTTGGGTTCCTGCAAGAGCAGGGACCCCCATGACTGGTTCCTTACCAAACATGACAATGTCACCCTTCAGGAAGGCACCTCCGAACACAAAGCGGATTTCATCAGTGTGGTCGGCTTTGACAAAAGCTGGCTTTATGTCTTCAAAGCACTGGGGCCGGTGCTGAAACTCGTAGAAGTAAACAGGGGCACCAGCATCTGAGGAAAGATCAGGGAGGGTCAGGCATGCAGGGTGGAGCAGGGACTAGCCCTGCATCCCCACCTATCAAGTCCTGGATTACAAACCCAGGGATAGGACAGCTCAACGACAAGAGGTGCCCTAAATGGGCCTAGCTTCCCTCTTCCTCATTTGAAGCTGAAATTCCCTGCAACGGCAGCCCTCATATCCCTAGTGACCAAGAGCTCTCTACCCATCAGGGAAGCCTAAGTAGGCGATAGTTCTACTTCTCAAACAAACAAACAAAAAACCCCAAAATGTCCTGCAATTTGAGCCAAAATCTACCTTTTGGGATTTCCTCTCCTTATCCTGGTTCAACTGTCTGGAGACAAACAGAACAAGGCTAATTCTGGCTTCCAAAGCCATCCTTGTGCATGCATCCTGCATTCCTTCACCTGTCTTCTACCGAAGGTCTTCACCCTGTAATTTCCAACACACATGTGCACACACACGCGTACATATACCAGCACAAGTGCATGAGCACAGGCACAGGGGCACACACAACACACATACACTGTCGCTTTCAATTTCACAGGTTCATTTCTCTGCATTCCTTCCTGCAAGATCTCACAGTACAGTTGCCTCCTACTGTCTCCACTTCCTCTCAGTCCATTGAAGTATCGTTTATGGACAATAAAGAGCACAGATTTTAAGTGTAGAGTCTGAGGAGTTTCTACAAATGCACTTATGTAACTGGCACTCCTGTCAGGATACAGGGCATTTCCATGCCCCCGAAAGTTCCTTTTTTGTCACTATCTCAAGAGAAAACCATGTTTTAATTCCTGTCCCCATAGATTCATTCCCCCTGTTCTTGAACTCTGCATAAGTAGATAATACAATTTTCTTCTATTGCATACTCTGGGGCTTATTTTGCTCAGCTTAATCTTTTTGAGATTCATCCATGCTGTTGTGTATGTCAACAGTTGATTCCTTTGTATCACCAAGTAGTATGCTATTGCATAAATATACCATAATTTGTTTATCCATCATCTGATGACAGACATTTGGGTTGTTTGCAGTTTGGGGCTATTATAATGAAAGCTGCTATGAATATGCATGCAAAAGTCTTTTGTAAGAGCACACACTTTCCCTCTCTTCAGTGACTAGCTAGGAGCAGGATGGTTGAGTGATAGGATAGGTATGAGTTTAATTTTATAAGAAACTACCTGTTTTCCAGAGTGGTTTTACCATTTTACTTCCTGACAAGAAGTATATGAGAGTTCTGAAAATTCTACATCCTTGGCAATACTTCTTGGTATGGTTTGTGTGCTTAATTTTAGCCATTCTAGTGGGTGTAAATAGTTACCTCATTTTGAGTTTATTTTGAAATTTTCTGATGACTAATAATGTTGGGCACCTTTTCATGGACTTCAGGACTTTCATATATCTTCTTTTGTGAGGTGTCTTTTCAAAGTTTTTTACCCCATCACTGTAAAAACTGTCTTTAAATTATTGAACTGTAAGAGTTCTTCTTCTATCCTGGATATGAATTTTTTTTTTTTTGGTCAGATAATTGTATTGTGAATATTTTCTTTCAGTTTGTGGTTTGCCTTTTCATTTTCTTAATGGTATTTTTTAAGGTAAAATTCACAGGAATGATATGTACCACTTTAACTATTTTAAAATACATTATCCAGTGGCTTCTAGTACATTCCGAATGTTGGGTAGCCATACCCACTATTCAGATCTGGAACATTTTCAACACTACAAACAGAAATCCCAGACCGATTAAGCAGCCACTCCTTATTCACCCTTCCCTTTAGCCCCTGGAATGCACAGTTCTATCTGTCGCTATGGATTTGCCTAATCTGAACATTTCATATAAATGGAATCATATAACATATGGCTTTTTATGCCTGGCTTCTTTCACTCAGCATATGCTTTCATGTTTCATCCATTTTGTATCATGCATCCGTATTTCATTCCCTTTTATGGCCAAATAATTACTTCATTCTATGTATACACCATGTTTTTTCTTTTCATTTACCTATTTATTAGTTAATGAACACTTGGGCTGTTGCCATTTGGGGCTGTCACGAAAAGGGTGCTATGAATATCTATGTACAATTTTTGTTTGAACAACCGTTTTCAATTGTCTTGAGTTTACTCCTAGGAGTGGATTTTCTGGGTTATATGGTAACTCTATGTTTAACTTTGTGAGGAATAGCCACACTGTTTTCCACACTGTTGTACTGTTTTGTATTCCCACCAGCAGTGTGTGAGTGTTCTGGTTTCTCTATATCTTTGATGATACTTTTTCTTTTTTTAAATTATAGCCACGTTAGTGGATAACAGATGCAATTGAATAAAATTGGATCTTTCCCTCATATCATAAATACAAACTTACTAAAAATGGATCACATACTTAAATGTGAGACCAAAACTGTAAACCTCTTGTAAGAAAATAAAAATATAGGGGTAAATTTTCATTGTCTTGAATTTGGTAATTAATTCTTAGATATGATACCAAAATCACAATCAATGTAAGAAAAAAATAGATAAATTGTATGTCATTAAAATTAAAAACTATTGTGCAACTTTTGTACATTATCAACAGAGTGAGACAGTAATCCATAGAATGGGATAAAATATTTGTGGATCATATATCTCATAAGGGATTAATATCTAGAATATACATATAACTCCTAAAAACCCAACAACAAAAAACAACTCAATTCAAAGACAAGCAAAATACTTTTTTTGTCCAAAAAGATATACAAATGTCTAATAAGCACATAAAAATAAACTTAACATCTCTAATCATTAGGGAAATGCAAATCAAAACCATAATAAGATACCACTTTATACCCATTAGAACAGCTATTTAAAAAAAAAAAACACACACACACATAACAAAAATGACACAAATGTTGGTAAAAATGTTGAAGAGAAATTGCAACCTTTGTATATTGCTGGTGGAAATATAAAATGGTGCAACCTGTGGTACATTTTATGAACATCTGTGGAAAATAATACATCCATTTTTCAAAAAATTAAACATAGGATTACCATATGATCCTGCAATTCTACCTCTGATGTAGATCCAAAAGAATTGGGAGCAGAAAATTGAAGAGATATATGTATACCCATGTTCACAGCAGCATTATTCACAATAGCCAAAATGTTAAAAAATATTGATATGAAATTACTAAATTGTCAAATTCATAGAGACAGAAAGTAGAACAGTAGTTACCAGGGGCTGGGGGAAGGTGGGCTGGGGAGTTATTTTTTAATAGGTACAGGGTTTCAGTTCCGAATGCAAAAACAGTCTAGAGGTGTATAGTGGTGTACAAAAATATGAATGTACTTAATTCCACTGAACTGTACACTTCAAATAGTTAAAATAGTAAATGTTTTGTTAAATATATTTAACCAAAATTTTTTAATGTTAAAAAAGAGTATGTTTTTAAAAAAAATATTTGTGAATTTTCCAGATTTCCTTATGTTATTAATGTATAATTTTATTCCATTGTTGTTGAAGAAGATACTCTATGACTTTTATCATTTAGAATTTATTGGGTTTGTTCTGTGCCCTAACATATGGTTTATCTGGAGGATGTTCCATGTGCAGTTAAGAAGAATATGGAATGTAAATATTGTTGGATAGAGAATTTGACCATATTTAAAGTACCTGTTTTAAAGTCTTTGTCTAATAAGTCTAATGTCTGGGTTTCCTCAAGGACAATTTCTGGTAAATATCTTTTTTTTCCTGTGTTTGGGCCATACTTTCTTGTTTCTTTGCATATCTCATAATTTTTGTTGAAAACTAGAGATTTTGAGTATTATAACATAGCAACTCTGATCAGATTCTACTCCCTTCCCAGAGTTTGTTATTGCTTGTTGTGGTTGCTGTTGCTTGTTTGTTTAATGATATTTCTATATTAATTGTGTAAAATCTATATTATTTGCCATATGTGGCCACTGCAGTCCCTCTTCTATTAGCTTATTGATCAGCCAGTAATTTGATAGCTCAGCTGGAATTTTCATAAATGCCTAGAATAACAACAACAACAACAACAAACCAGAACAAATAAACAAAGCAAAACAAAAGAAAACCTCTCAGTCTTTGTAGTTGAGTTCTGTATGTGTGTTGAATATTCCTTTATTACTCAGTCAAGCAGTATACAAGTCTACCTTACCCTTCATTTTCTGCTTAAGCAGAGCCTGAAGATCAGCTTTGATGTGAAAGCTTAGGGCTTCCTGAGGCCTCGGAGCATGCTCCCTACTCTGGACATATCCATGGCTTTCTAGACTCTCAGGAATGTGCAGGGGCTTTTCAAGCTTTTAGTCTCCAAAGAGTCTCACTGCCCAGCCTTTCCTCCCAAACTTTTCAACTTGCTTAATGTTTACTCCAGCTGTTATCCCTTGCTCCTGGTGGCAGCAACTAAAGCATTTACCTCTAAATGTTTGTGACAGACACCTTCCAGACAGCTGCCTCAGCCCAAAGAAAGTGCTCATTTAGGTGTAATAAATACAGGCCTTTTGAGCAAGTCATATAGGGGAGCCCCAGGTAGGTCAAAACAAACAATCACAATTCTTTGAAAATAAGGTCCATTTTTCTCCCTCCAGTACTGGGATCCTACACTGTAAATGTGGGTTGTTGTAGGTGCTCAAGGCCATTGCCCATTGGGTAGCAAGGAATGCTGCAAGGGTAAATAAAAATGCCACAATGAGACTCAGGGGCTTGTGTCTTGATTAAATGTTCACCTGCTGGTTGTAAACCCTTGATTTGTCCCCAGAGTTCTGATCAAATTGATCCTGACAGTCTTTGCTAGTTTATTCACTTTTTTGTGATAGGATAGGCTTTTGAAGTTCCTTACCTCACCATTTTTGCATTGTTAACAGTATCTTTTGACAAGCAAGAATTTTTAATTTTTCTTAAGTACAATTTTAGCTTCTACATTGGGATCTACAATTTTTCTCAGATTAATTATTGTGCATGGCATGAGTAAGGGCTTCACTTTTTTTCACATAGATATCCAGTTACACCAGCTCCATCTGTCAACTGTATACGTGTGGATTTATTTTCTGGACTCTCTGCTATGTTTTGCTGTTCTATCTGTCTATCCTTTAGCCAATACTAGACTTGCTTAATAACTGTAGCTCAGTGATAAATGCTGAAATCAGGTGAATTGTATGTACTCTGACTTTGTTATTCTTTTTCAAGGTAATTTTGGCTATTCTTGTATTTCCATACCTATTTTAGAATTAGCTTGTTTATTTCTCTAAAACCACTGATACAATTTTGATTGAGATTAGGACTGCATTGAGTCTACAGATGAATGTATCCATTTTCTTTTGAACCCATTTTAATCAGATTTTTGCTCCCCTATTATTTCTTTCTTTTTTTTTTTGAGTTGGAGTCTCACTCTGTCACCCAGACTGGAGTGCAGTGGCCGCTCCCGGTCACCGCAGCCTCGACCTGCTGGGCTCTGGCGATCCTTCAGCCTCAGCCTTCCATGTAGCTGGAACTACAGGTTCGCACTACCACACCCAGCTAATTTTTTGGTTTATTGTAGAGATGAGGTCTCACCAAGTTGCCCAGGCGGGTCTCGAACCCGTGGGCTCAGGCAATCCACTCACCTCAGCTTCCCAAGGCACAGGATTACAGGCTGAGCCACCGAGCCCGGCTGCTCCCCTATTATTTCATGAAAATAGTTCTTGTCAAGGTCACCAGTGACCTCCATGCTGCCAAATTCAATAGCCAATTCTTAGCTCAATGTTACCTTCACGACCCTTATAAAACAGTGACCTCCAACTGCACCTGTCACTGCTGACCCCCATCCTCCTTTATTTTACTCCATATCTCATATTCTACTTGCTTATGTGTCACCAGGCTCACCTGCTAGATTGTGAATTTCATGGTGGTAGGATCTTGGTTTTGTTCACTACTCTATCTCCAAGACCTGGGACAGTCTCAGCCACGTAGGAGGCCTTGGATAAATACGTGTTAAAAGGAAAGAAAGAAAAAGGGAAGGGTATGGGAGTGGGGAGGAGAAGGAAGTAAGGTTTGTGTCTCCACAAGTAATCTTGTCTTTCCGATTGTTCCACTACTCCTTACAGCTAAGATGACTCCTTACAGCTAAGAAGTCACCTCTAGAGAAAAAAGTCACCTCTAGAGAAAAAAGAACCTATGGGGAGGTGGAGATTTTCTACATGATCCTGAAGAACGGGAAGAAGCAGAAACCTCAAGAACTGAACTGATCAACATTCCCAAACTCTGACAGGCAGGGGAATTGCAAAGGTCAGCATGGCATGGTTCTATTCCAGACATACCTGGGAACTCTCTCTCTCTCTCTCTCTCTCTCTCTCTCTCTCTCTCTGAGGGAACAGAGGGCAGAGTGGGCAGCTGGGCAGCAGACAACACAGATCCCTGGAGCCACTGGCCTCATGGGTGGTCCTAGAGGGGTGTGCTCAGAGACTCACCTCTGTGATATCGAGCTGTGACCAGCCCAGGGACCACAAAGAACACATCTCCAAGTAAGTCCAGAAGACCATCTCGGATTTCAGTCTGAGAGTGCTTGTCATGGAAGTATTCACGAACCACAAGGTACAAATACTGGGGGGGAATGTGCTGCAAAAAAATAATAGTCATAGGAGATCCAGGTCAACAACAATAGCCAACACATTAAGCACTTAACCTGTGCAGGTATGATTCTGCATGCTTTACATTCATTGCTTCATCTAATTCGCACAGCAACCCTGTGATGCAAGTATCAAAATAAGTCCCATTTCACAGATTAGGAAACTAAGGTTTAAAGAGGTAAGGTGGATGGTCCAAACTGGTAAAACTGCGATTCTTTCACAAATCTATTTTTATCTGAATGCCATGCTCCTAAGCACAGTATGAAGGCCTCGCTATCATGCTTCAGAATGAATCACTCCTGGGCAGAACTGGTTCTGTCATCTGTTGGACTCTGCAAAATGCAAATGTGGGTTTTTTAATTCAGAAAGTATCAAGAATTTCAAGATGCTGACAGCAGAGCATTAGACTAAACATAGAACCCTTCTGAGCACAAGGCTCTCTGTGGCCACACAGGCTGCACATCCATGAAGCCAGCTCTGTTCCTGGTACCCATGCTCCCTCCAGCCCTTTGCTATTTTACTAAAGCCAGTTGGTCTCTTGAAGCCTCTGTTCCCTCATCTGTAAAAAAAAAAAAAAGAGTTGCTTGGAGGATTACACAAGATGTGGAGAAATGCATGCTGTCTGGCCCAGAGCAAGTCTTCAGTTCTGGTTCTGTTGGTTCTCCTTATCCAAGTGTCTTAACAGGACATTCGATGCCTTCTTTGACCCAGCACCAGCCTTCCTCCCAGGTTTCTCCCCCAAAACCTGCCTTAAACACAAATGGCACAGGGTGGAAAATGAATCTCAAGAAGCTTCAGGGGTGTGTGACACTGGTGATGTTTTTAGGGGGTCTGGTGCTCTGGGTAATGCTGGACAAGATGTCACACCACAAGCCCCTACCACAAAGACATCGGCACAGTCTTTGGTAGGTTTCTTTGCAATTTGGAGGTAAGGCAGTATACGTCACCCCTGGGAGTACTGCTCAGACTGGTTTATCAGATTCTCAGAAGGCTGATGATCTTTAATCAGGCCCAGACCAAGGAAGGACTCTGCAGCACATCCTGCCTGTGGTGCCAGGGTCTGGCCACTTGGACCATATGACCAGCAGATTCCACAGTGCCAGAGGTATCCAAGATGGGATACTGTGTAGAGCCTCAGGCAAGTCTCTATAGGACAATCAGAGTACAAAGCCCTAGAGATCTGGAGCAAGGCTATGCCTTCTGCATCAAAGAACTACTTACCATTTGAAAAGCAGTCCCTGGTGTGCTCCTGGGCCTAGGAGAGATCTTCTTTCCTCCTGCACATTTCCATACAATCTACTTCCTATCCCTAGGACTTGGTCAAGATACCTTCTCTACTCAATATGCAAGTATCTTCTGCTAAGGCCAGGTCAGTGACCACCTTTGCCATGAGGCCATCTCCAATCCAGCCTGAGAGATTTCAGCCAAGACTCATCAAACTTCCCCCACCAAGTCTTGAGGCCTGAGGGATCCCTCTCTCCAGTCTGGCCTACTCTACAGTCAGAGGGCTCTTTCTAAAATGGAAATCGAATCATGTCACTCTTCCTACTGTTCCCAGCCCTTGGGATGAAACTTGCACTCCTTCCAAAGCTTATAACAGCTGTCAGCATCCTCTCCTGCTGCAGATAACCCCTTGGTTGATCTCTTCACACCCCATCCACTCCCAGATGAGTCTCTTGATTTCGTCTGGATCCTCTCACACACACCCTCCATCTCCAGAAAAATTCCATTAATTCTCCAAAACCCTTCTCCCCAAGGGAGATGCCTTCTGTGGTCATCACATGGCTTCAGACATTCCTCGGCCTTGTATGCACTGTACTGAAGTGTCTTGTCATCTCAGTCTACCCCACATTGTACTCCCAGTGTCTTGTCCTCTCCATCCACCCCACATTGTACCCCCATGCAGAGGGAAGTACAGGGACATGTGGACTCTCAGTCACCATGAATCAATGAACGAATGGAACTTCACACTGAGTATACACTGCATACAGAAAGGAAAACAGAAAAAGGAGAGAAGAAAGGAAAGAAAGCAATCAGTCTCTATGACTTGGTGTCTAGAGCAAGACGTGGCACTGACAGGTTTGTGCAGAGAATGAATGAATACATGAATGAGTAATGCATGAATGAATGAGTAACCGACTGTTATTGCCAGAACTTGGCACAGTGCCTGGCTGGTGTGTAGTGAACATGGGCCCCAGTCCCACACGTGCTTCAGGATTCAGAACTTTTCAGACTGTAGACAGATATTCAGCACATACGCTGCATATTATATAACATGCTCAGGAGGGCAACAGCCCAACACCCACAACAACAATGTCTGCAGAGAAACATCTGAATAGTGGAATAAATAAAATGAAAAAATGTGTGGGAACAATTAAAGACTGATGGCCACAGATTGGTCTAGGTTAGCTGCCAGGTGGATTAAAAACGTTTGGGGTTTTGGAGCTCTTTGAATTTGGGGGATTGTGGATAAGGGGTTGAGAGCTTATACTTAGTAAAGGTCTATTGAATGAATGAATGAATGAATGAATGAATGAGGAATGTCTGTCCCCCAGCACCTCTCCCTGAGTGTGAACCTGGGATGTCTGCTAAATGAATGCATCTCTAGAGGGCCCCGGCACCCATACTCACTTACCAGGAGGGTGTATATCAACTGGAGGGCATGAGACTTGTTGGAGCCACTCAGGATCTCAGGAATCTGTGTCTGTAGAGAGAAGCAGTGTCCTCTGTGAGCCATTCATCCTTGGAAGATAAACCAGTCTCTCTGGGAACCTTGGCATCCGACTTTCTGAAAGGAGGATGGGACGGGCGGGATCGCTTTGACCCCAGGTGGCCGTGTGCAGCAGCAGCTTCAGTGGGTTGATCAGATAATAAATTTATTCTCATATTTGATACAAAGCAGACATTCCCTTTCATACCTGTCACTGAGTGGCCACCTGCAGAAAGGCTCTCACTATGGGGTGAAGTGTATCCCCTCAAAATTCATACACTGAAGCCCTAACCCCCAGTATGTCCAAATGTGACTGCGCTGTATTTGGAGATAGGGCCTGGCCTTTAAAGAGATACTTACATTAAAATGAGGTCATTAGGGCAGGCCTTCATCCAATCTGACTTGTATCCTTACAAGAAGAGATTTAGACACAGAGACACTAGGAAACTCGTGCATACAGAGGCCAGGCCGCATGAGGACACAGCAGAAGGTGGCCAACTGCAAGCCAAGGAGAGAGGGAGGCCTCAAAAGACACCAACCCTGCTGACACCTTGATCTCAGACTTCCAGCCTCCAGAACTGTGAGAAAATGCAGTTCTGCTGTTTGAGCCATCTAGTCTGTGGCATTTTGTTACCACAGTCTTAGCTGTCTAATGAAGGCCACAACTTGACTTTGACACCAAATTTAAAGAGAAGACAGAAAATGGAGAGACAGATGAATTGCTGTTCTTCTTCTACATACTTTTGCAACCAGGGCCTCTGAGAAGCCTGCAGAAGGGAATCGGAAACATGGCAGTGAGGACGGAGGCTGAGCACACAGGCTCCCCCTAGCCCTCACCAGCTGAGAACTTGGCAAGGAACTCAGCTCTTCCTGCCTCAGCCTCCTCATCTGTAAAATGGAAGTAGCAACAGCAGCCCCCTGCCAGGGCTGTGATGAGGCCGAAGCAAGTTGATACGTGTAAAGCTCTTACAATGGCACTTAGTATATAGTAAGAGCTGTGTGTCATTGCAGTTTTTAGTTTAAAACAAATTTTTTACCCTATTCCAGTGACAGATTTTGTTGTTATTATTTGCATTCTTCCAAGCATCCTAGTCTATCTTATTTTATTGTAGGGATGGAGTTTTGCTATGTTGCTTAGGCTGGTGGTCTCAAACTCCTGGCCTCAAGTAACCCTCCCACTTCAGCTTCCCAAAGTTCATTCATTATAAGTGAACCACCATGCCTGGCCACAAATTTTTTGTTAAGTGACTGTTTTTCTGGCAACATTACAGCTTAAAAGCATGACAGGTCAGAAATACTATTCGCTTGTCAAATCAATTTCCTTAGAACATTTTCTGTTGAAAATCTTGGGGTAATAAATCACTAGGGTAGATACTTAAATATACTTGTCTTCTGGAATCTGAGAGAGCCCCCAGAATTATCCAAGTTACCCAGAAGTATAGTTTAACTACTAAAAATCTTCTCTGAATATTAAGGAGCTGGGATCTGTTTTTGGAGGGTGTCCTATGGTCTCCAACCGCCAGCAATTAGTTTAACTGCAAGTTCACACAGAATAGCAGCAACAGTGCAGGCTTTTAAGCTCTGCACATTCTGTCACTTGGATAATTCCAATATCTAGTCTTTACTGAGCACTTGTTACATGCAAGGCTGTTTGATGTGTACCTATGATATAGGTGCTAAGATTAACCCTACTTCACAGATGAGGGAACAAAAGTTCAAAGAGGATAGGCAACTCACCTAACGTCATACAGCAGGGAAGCAGAGAACACAACATTTAAATGCATAAAAATTATATACCACTGTCTACTTACTAGCTGGGAGGCATAGGAAAGCCACGTCATCCTCTTTGGGCCTTAGTTTCTTCAACTGGAAGATAGGGATAATAATGCCTGCTTGCAAGGTTCTGCACAGATGGCAGCCACTTGGCACATGGGAGGCACCCGGGAAGTGGTCACAGTGGTTATGGTGGTGGCTGTCATCGGTAGCACCTGCCTTTTTTCTAGCACATACCCAGAACGCATTGATAGACCTTGCTTAAGTCACAAACTGTGACTCGGTGGCCTCATTTACAATATGAGGACAAAATCCCTAACCCCATTTAAACCAAAACATCACCCTAGAGGATAAATCAGTAATGACAGAACATGCTTTAATAATCCAATGAGGCCGGGCTCGGTGGCTCAGCCTGTAATCCCAGCACTTTGGGAGGTCGAGGTGAGTGGATTTCCTGAGCCCGCAGGTTCGAGATCCATCTGGGTAACTTGGCGAGACCTCATCTCTACAATAAATCAAAAATTAGTCGGGCGTGGTAGGGCACGCCTGTAGTCCTGGCTACTTGGAAGGCTAAGGCAGAAGGATTGCCGGAATCCAGCAGGGTGAGGCTGTGGTGGCCGGTAGCATGCCACTGCACTCCAGTCTGGGTGACAGAGTGAGACTCCAACTCAAAAAAAAAAAAAGACAATAGTTATTTAAAAAAAAATAAAAATAATCCAATTAACTTGGGATTTGGTTCTAGCCACCAACCAGCTTTATAATTTGATAAACCTCTTTATTTTTTAACCCAATGTCCTCAGCTTAAAATGAGGAGGTTGGTCTACATAAATTGGTTTTGATGGCTTTATGAATTTGAATCCCCCACTCTTCTAAGGACAGATGAAAAGTGTATTTCCAATAAGGAGGGTCTTGGTAAAATGCAAAGTCAAGAAATAATGATCCTTCTTAGCATCCAGGCCTCAACTCAACAATCCCTCCTCAAAAGGGCCTTTCCCGATCACCCACCGTCCTCCCTAAAGATGCCTTCTTTCTCCACTTGTGGCCTTCCTAGTGCCTGTCCCTCACTGAAATTACCTTTCCTACCCTGTGTCCTACCTGTCTCTCCCCTCGAGAGCGTAAGCTCCAGAAAGCTGGAACTGCTGTTGCTGCTGAATGTTTTTAATAAGTGTGTGATACATACAAGTTGAATGAATAAAGTGATTTAATAAAGTTGCAAGTTGTACAATCTTGGAGAGCATGCTCGGAAGTCAAGATGCCAGAACTGAGGCTAGATATGGAAAGTTGAAAGAACTAAAGTTTTTCTAATCTATCTGAATGTCAGCTCTGAAGTAGTAAAGACGTTTATTTAAAGCAGTCATTTCTAATGTTTTTAAAGAAAGACCAGGTGGGTTTAATTCCCTCTTTCCTTTTTATATAGTTGCTTCTTCAACAGTGCACATCATCATATGAGGAACAAGGAAGACCCTTGCTGTGACTGCCCTGGTGCTCTGTTACCCTCTTTCAGAGTGAGGGAGGTTATCACCATGCACTTGGCTGATGGACTCCAGCCCTTGTAGTGCTTGGTGCCATGTATGGAAATGCCCAACTGTTAAGCAAACAGCTGCACCATCACTGAGGGAGTGGCAGTATAGATGCCAGGACTCTTACCATGGGCAGCAGGAAGCCACACTCGTGGTTATTGACTCCAATGATTGAAGGAATTGCTGTAAATGCTTTCTGAGACAATAGTTCCAGAGGCTCATCAGGAAAGAAGCGACCATCAACCACTTGAGTGAAAGACTTTGTTTTCTGTAATAAGGAAGAAGAGAAAAATCAGTAGCTGTTTCTGTTCACAAAATCTACTGTCCCTAAATCCTAGCCAAGCAAATCAACCCAGTTTAGCTGAGGTCAAAATGCATTTAAAAAGTAAAAACAGGCCAGGTTCGGTGGCTCAGCCTCCAATCCCAATGCTTTGGGAGGCCGAGGCTAGTGGATTGCCTGAGCCCATGGGTTCGAGATCAGCCTAGGCAACTTGGTGAGATCTCGTCTCTACAATAAACCAAAAATTAGCTGGCTGTGGTAGCATGCACCTGTAGTTCTGGCTACTTGGAAGGCTGAGGCAGAAGGATCACTGGAGCCCAGCAGGTCGACGCTGAGGTGGCCGTGAGTATGACACTGCACCCCAGCCTGGGCGATTCCAACTCAAAAATAAATAAATAAACAAAATGGAAAAACAAATCACTATGGGCCCAGCCCAGTTCATCAGTCCCTGGTCAGCTCTGCCATTTGCTTGGGCAGGGAGCTAAACTTTTCTGTGTCTTAGTTTCTTATCTGCTAAATGAGAATGATGATAATATCTACCTAAGAAAAATGGGTGTCTAGCACAGTGGTTCTCAATGGCCAGTGACTGGACCAGGAGTAACAGCATCATCTGAGAACTTGTTAGAATGCATATTCTCAGGTTCCACTCTAGGCCTACTGAATACAAAACTCTGGGAGTGCAGCCCAGAAAGCTTATTTTGGCAAGTTCTCCAGGTAATTCTGATGCAAACTCAAGTTTGAGAACACTGGTCAAGTACAAAGAGCAAGACAGGGAGGGGAGGGAGTGGCCACGATAGGAGGGGTCAGCATAAGTATCTCCCTGAGAAGTCTTCCTCAGAACCTGTGGCTTGGGCATGGCTGGATATTTTTGGGGTCTCAGAGAGCAACACTTGGCTCTAATCATGTTCATGTTTGTTTTTTGGGGTTTTTTTTTAGGTTTTTGTTTTGGGAGTTGGATAGAGGGAGCACATAAAAAAGTTTGACATGAGTGTGGTGGCTCACGCCTATAATCCCAGCACTTTGGGAGGTTGAAGTGAGAGGACTGCTTGAGCCCACAGGTTCGAGACCAGCCTCGGCAACTTGGCGAGACCTCATCTCTACAATAAATCAAAAAATTAGCCAGTTGTGGTGGCGCATGCTTATAGTTCCAACTACTTGGAAGGCTGAGGCAGAAGTATCACCTGAGCCCTGTAGGTGGAGGCTGCAGTGGCTATGAGCATGCCACTGCACTCCATTCTGGGCTCAGGAAATCCTTCTGCAGAGTGAGACTCCAACTCAAAAAAAAAAAAAAAAGTTTGACAACATCAAGTCAAGGACTTACCTATTCCACATCTTCTACTATGCAGGTGCTCACAGTTGATACTCAATACATGCCAAATAACTAGGAAATGTTGGAAGCTGTTAGTGACCTTGCTCATTCAAAGACTATCAAAGGTTCTCAAGCTTGGAAGGGACATAAAAGATCATCCAGTCCAATTAACTAGCAGAGATTGAAAACTGGTCAGTGGTCAGCTAGACCTTGCTTGAACACCTGCAGAGGTGGATATCTCACTGCTTTTTAAAGGAGTCTGGTCCTTTTCCAGAAATCTGAGGTTTTAGGAAGTTCTCAGTTATGAGAGGTCCCCAAAAAACCCAGAATTTATTTATAAAAATGTTGTATTTATTCTTACATGTTTAAATTTCAGCCACCTTAAAACTACGCTCCATTTGATGCAATACACCTATTGAGACGTATTTCCAATGCTCAAAAACAGTTTTTGAACTCTTCAGTCTTGATGACTTTTAGTGTTTCTGCTGTTTTTTCCACTTCTTCTGTACTGGCAAAACGTTTCCCTTTGAGGACTTTTTTCATCCAGGGAAACAAAAACAAAGTAGCTTAGAGTGAGATGGGGGATAGGAAGGGTGGGGCACAAGGGTCATGCTGTTTTTGGTCAAACACTGTGAAACACTCGGTGTGGTGCAGGCAGGGGCATTGTCATGGTGGAAGAACCACATACCTGTTTACCACAACTCAGGATGTTTCTTCCATGATTTGTGATGCAACCTTTTCAAAAACTTCTAGATAAAAGCATTGGTTGACCTTCTGATCTGGAGGAACACATTCAGAGTGTGTTCAAGGGGCCCACCCTCCAAAACAAAACAGAAAGGAGAGAGAGAGACAAAAAGAAAGTTGCTTGGAATGAGATTGGGTGAATAGAGAGGGTGGGGCACAGGGGTCATGCTGTTTTTGGTCAAACACTGTCGAACACTCAGTGTGGTGTGGGCCGGGGCATTGTCATGGTGAAAGAAACACACATGGAGGAGGAAGAAAAGGAGGAGGAGGAGGAGGGGGAGGGGGAGGAGGAGGAGGAGAAAAAAAGAAAATTCCAGTTTTCTTTGGGTTCCCCCTCATATACCATGCCTAAATGGCTTCCTAACAGAACTTTTAGCTCCTGATTGTGACTTTAACTTCTGGGGGCATGCAGAACAAGCATGGTCTCTCTTTCCAGTGAGAAGACTTGAATGACTTAGGGACAACCTTCTCCAGGTTAAGCAGCACCTCTATCCCATCAAGTTCCTTAAATTACCTATAAGTGTTCTATATACCACATTGTTATAGCTGTTACCATTAACGTTTCCAAGTCCCAAATTAAAATAAAGATCAGAGGGGTGGGCTTTGTCCACCACTTCATTCAAAAGGGAACCCTACCCCCTAGAGTCTCCCCTCATTTCTCACCTGGCCAAGGGTCAGCAACTCCTTGGGAGACTTTGACCTCAGGCACTTGAGCAGGGCCACGGAGTCTGATGCATTGCAACCACAGAAATATGCAACCACCTGCAACTATTTCCAGAGAGGCACCAGGTCAGAGCATGGTTCTGAAAGCATCTGAGAGAATCAAAGTTGGGAAGCCCTCTGACTAGCCACAACCTGGTCCTCCACATACGAGTCCATTCTGCTGGCCCTCCCTGACCCCACACATCTATAGCATAATATGCACATAGAAGATGGGTTGGCACTGTGCTATCCCCAGTTTCTTGCCTGGTCCTCCTTGTCATCTTTAGCAAACTCAAGAGCTGGGGGTGGGAGATTGTCAGTCTGTAGCCATGGAATGGAATTAAGTTTCCTGGGTCATAGAGAGACCAGTCTTGTGAGCTTGGCAGCATTGTCACTAGACCCTCAGAGCCCAGCAGCCTAACCTTGGGTACTAAATGGAGCCAGAAGCCCCAAGAGTAAGGAGTAGCTTTGCAAGCACCTTAATTGAGGCATAACACCAGATCAGATTCTCAGCTTGTCAGCCCCACTCAAGCCCCAGCCCCACCCACAGCTTGGAATGCCCTGAACGTGCTTCTTCCATCTCTACACCAGTCATGCTCATTCTTTAAGGTTCAAGTCCTGCCCTCCAAGATGTCCTTTCAGACCATTGCAGGCCCCATAAACCCCTTCCTCCCCAAATCTTCCATCAGCTCAGTGTTCCCCACCATCTCTGCCTAGCCAATTGCTAAACACCTGCTTTTCCTGTCATCGAACCCTCCATATTTGTAGAACTTGTTCCTTGAAAGTGACGGCTCTTAATCTTCTGGAAGTCATGAGTGCTCTAAGCATCTAATGAATGCTACAGACTTTCTCCTTGGGAAAATGCACAAGCATGTAGAGTCTGCATGTAATTTTATGGCATTCAAGGACCACCTCCCAAATCTACCCATGGATTCCAGATTAAAATCCTCTTGAAGCCAAGCTCGGTGGCTCAGCCTGTAATCCTGTGCCTTGGGAGGCTGAGGTGAGTGAATTGCCTGAGCCCGTGGGTTCGAGACCCGCCTGGGCAACTTGGTGAGACCTCATCTCTACAATAAATCAAAAAACTAGCTGGGTGTGGTAGCACATCCCTGTAGTTCCAGCTACTTGGAAGGCTGAGGCGGAAGGATCGCCGGAGCCCAGCAGGTCAAGGCTGCGGTGGCCGGGAGTGGCCAATGCACTCCAGTCTGGGCGACAGAGTGAGATTCCAACTCAAAAAAAAAAAAATTAAAAGATTATATTCTTCTCAAGTTTAGAATATATTTTCTCCACTGATAAGCCCACAGGTCCTAACAGAGCTGGGAATACAGTGAGCACTCAATAGATGTGTGGCAAATGACTAAACATATGCACAATCTGAAGGTAGATTTCTATATAATGTTACCAAAATCAGCATTCCCTGTTTATTGAGGATATTTTTAAAGTTTTATAATTCTGTTTCTGCTTTAATATAATGACACTGTTATTTACTATAAGGTATTTAAGAAAACATGTTACTAAAATTATTAAAACTCAGGAGATGGCTCCAAAGCCCAGTGCTTAATTAATATGCATTGAATGAATCAGTTCATTTGTTAATTCATTCATCCAGCAAAGCATTTATGACTGCCTAATATATCCCGAGTATTATACTGGGGGCATGAAGGATGGGGAGACCCTGGTCTCTAGGGCCTCACTATCTAGTAGATAATTAAGACGAGACAGATGATAAATATCTTGGGACATATACCCTGCCTCCTACTGATAACCCCGTGCCAGACAACATTAATCAGTCACAGCATTATTTCCTACTGAGCTGGAAAAAGCCTCAGAATCTTTCTTAACATAATACCCTAGTAGCCAATCCCTATGGAGTAGAGAAGAACAGGAGATCAGCTGTGTGAAATATAGAAGACTGAGTTATATAACACAAGCACAGAATACTGAATAAGATGTAAGAACCATAACACACAAGCACACGTACTCCTGCACACCAGTGACGTGGCATTGTGTAGTTGGACACATTTCCTGTTGAACCAGGCCTTCCATGGAGGAACAAAGTCTTTCAGACCAGCATGAGCTTCCTTGTACATGGTCACTAAGGAAAGCCAAGAACATGGTGAGAAGGTGACAGTCTGTTGACTTCTGATTAGGGAGAGGAAGTTGGAAAGGTGTTAACAGTATACCTACATCCTCACTCCTCTGGTTGTCTGGGTCTTTCAGGGAAGGAATGATGGCCACCCCACTCTCCATGATGGCTTTATGGAATAAGCCATCGGCCATGGGAGACAAAACCTGGAGAGAGAACCCAGAAGACCCAGGAAAGGTTATCCAGGGGCTCCCCACCCACCACACACATCATCCACCCCTTCTTAAAAGAAAACTTCCCAGGAAATCTCCTTAAGAGAGATCTAGTCTTAGAGGGGAAAAATAGGCTTGGTTTAGGGGTTCCAGGACTAGTTGTGAAAGTATGGGCGACTTATTTCACTTCTCCGAACCCCCAGTTCTTCATGAACTTTGAAGTCAAACATTCAGGAATGTGAGTTCTAGCTCTTTCACTTCCTAGCCGGGTAGCCTCAGGCAAGTTGCTTAATATTTCTAAGCATCAGTCTGCTTCCCTGTAAAACTGGAGTAGAAATGGAGCCTGTATCAAAAAATTGTTGTGAGGAATAGGGGAAATAATGAACATAGAAGTCTTCGCATAGTGTCTGGTCAAATTTCACTCACGAAATAGCGGCTGTTATAATGTATGGAAAGTTGGGTTAATATAAAGCACTTTAGAATGTGATTTTGTAAATATAAAAAATACTTTGTATCTAGTCAAGTGCTACTGAACAGAAGACCTCTTAGCCTACTGCCATGAAATTGATTTCTGCAATTAACATGGTTTGTGTTTTTTAAATAATTTTTTAATTTTAAATATGTGGAGTACAATTCAGGGTTAGGTATACAACTGCTCATTATGCAGGTACCCTTGTTGATGAGGTATGCCCCCCCTCCGCTACTGCTAATCCCTTTCTTATAGTTGCAATTAACATGTTAACTGATGTTGATAGACCACTCAGAGCCAGTGGGCCATTTTCTAACACCTCCATACATTTCTACTCCCACTAGTTTCTCCCCAAGAATCAGGTGTGTTTGCTTCCAAGCCTGTTTTGTAAGTTGCACTTGTTATTATAATTACAGAATCAATAAAATATCATGGGAAGCAATGAATTGTGTGTATAAAAAGAAAACAAAAGTGTGTCTGGGTGATAAAAACTTGATAAAGGATAGCTAAAAAAATATTGCTGTCATATTAGGCGTGGACAAGATAGCAATAAAATATTTAGAGAAAAAGTATAAAACTCCAGAATGCACTGCAGCTAGACTACTTTGCAGGCATCTTTAAGTTTATGCTCACCACAGAAATACGGAAACTGCAATTTGAGGGCAGTGAATTTTGTGGATAGTTTATGCAAGAGAATCCATGCTGGAACTCAAATCAGCAGACTAGCTCTGAAAATATAAGGACCTGTATCAAACCATTGACGAGGGAATGTGCATTTTATGCTTTAAAATAAAATAGTTCTGTGCATTTTTATTTCATGCTTTAGCTGAGTTTTTCTAAGTAATTCCCATCTGATAATTGGATATTAGGACTTCTATTCTACAAATATAAGAAACTTTTCCTCAAATTATTACTATATGACCTTAGCTGATTTGTTTAAACTCTCCTGATGATAGTTGTCTTGTTGATGAAATGAGACTGAACCCCTAACTCATAATGTCTTTGTGAGGCTCGAGGGAGATGTTGTGTATTAAAGCGTTTGTTCAACACAAAGACACCAGTCAAATGTGAGCAATTCATCATCCTCTTTTTGTTGCCTCCCCCACTGAGGTTCATTCAAGTCACAAAGCAGAGAACTCACGAGGCTGGAGACACTTATGGCCCCTGCAGACTCGCCGAAGATGGTCACAGAGTCAGGGTTCCCGCCAAAGAAAGCAATGTTCTTTTGAATCCAGGATAGGGCGGCCAACTGGTCCTGGAAGGCCCAGTTTCCCGGAGCATGCTGATCCTGTGTGCTGGGGTCAAGAGGCAGAGTGAGAATTCTCAGTCAGCCATGTCTGTTTGCTGCAGCCCAGGGACTTCTCGGCAGAGGCTGAGGCAGGCATCGGTAGAAAGAGGGTTGAGAGTCAGAGGCCTGGAGGTGCTGAGGAAACTGGGCTTAGTTCTAACCCTTTGTGGGATGTAGGCTTCTTTGAAAATCTGATTAAAGCTATGCACCCCAGAAAGATTCACTGCACTATTGCACAAGCAACTTCAGGGTATTTACAGGCACCCCGAATCCATGGATCTCCGGAGAAGAGTTCCATTCCTGAGAGTTGGCCTGTGCTGGGGAGCAAGACCTTCCTAGGCACAGAGGTTTCAGTGAATGACCAAATTAATAATACAGTAACAGCAGTGGCATGTACCAGACACTGCTGTAAGGGCTCTACGGCAGACACTCCTATAACCCTCAAGCCTATGAAGAAGATAGTGCTGGTTTGTCCCCTTTTGCTCCACTGGGTCTCCTCTACCCTTCTCTGCCCTGTCCCCAAAAAACTGACCACTGGGAACTGCATCCACCAGGCTTCAGCTGTGTAGGGCCAGTGGGAAGCACCAGCAGGTGCTTAAGGGTGTGATAGAGACTAAGGCTCCTGCTCTGCTGGGAAGTGTTTGGGCAGAGGCTGCACTTCTCCATGCTTGCAGCTGGTGCCAATTCCCTTCCATGAGCTATCAGGACACCCATGGACACATCAGCTTCCCCCCAGACTAGGAAATTCAGGCACAGAGAGGTTAAAGCCCCCTGCCCAAGAGCTAGAAAATTGCAGATTTGGGATCCAAATTTGGGAGTCTGGACCTAGAATCCATGCTCCTGACCATGCTTCTATGCTGCTGCCCCTGTAGAATAGCATGCTTCCCAGGATAGTTGGACAATTAATGAGGAACAAGTGAAAATGCGGTGGACCCAAAGAAACGCCTGGGCCAAAGACAGTCATGCGATGCGCACGTGCATGCAAGTAATCCCAGGATCACATTCTTCTCCCCTCCATTCTCCAGTCCTCCAAAACACACCTTCCCTCAGTCCCTTTCTCTGTCCATGATCCCTGGGCTGACTCTGACTACCTACACCTTCTTTCTTCCATATATATCTAGTCAGAAACCAAGCCCTGCCAATTTTAGCTCCACTGCACTGTGACTCCCACCTGGGGCCCCCTCCCTCCATTTCTATTTGTCCTGAAGCAGTATACCTTAATGGTTAAGATCTCAGCCTCAAGTACAGGATTTATATGGCTACTTATTATCTGAGTGACTTCAAGCAAGTCACTTAACCTGCTTTGCCTCAGTGGTCTCATGGCTAAAATGGGGATAATAATAATGCCTGCTCCATGTGGTTTTTGTGAAGGTAGGTGGTAGGAGACACATAATAAAAGTATGTCATATACACATGTTAGTTATTGTATTTGTGATTCAAATGCATCAAGACCGTGCAGTGGGCCAGGCATGGTGGCTCATGCCTATAATCCCAACACTTTGGGAGGCCGAGGCAGGAAGATGGCTTGAGCCCAGGTGTTCAAGACCAGCCTGGGCGACATAGCGAGACCTCGCCTCTACAAAAAAATCTAAAAATTAGCCAGGCATGGTGGTGTGCACCTGTAGTTCCAGATACTCAGGAGGCTGAGGCAGGAGAATCACTTGAGCCCAGGAGATAGAGTCTGTGATCATGTCACCACTGCACTCCACTTTGGGCAACAGAGTGAGATCCTGACTCAAAAAAAAAAAAAAAAAGGCTGACATTGCCTTCCAACAGGACCCACCTGTGCTGTGGCTGGGCAACCCTGACCCAGGCTGCACTCTTGGGGGTAAGCTTCCTGCTACACTGCTCTGATCACAGTACTCCTGGGTTCCTAATCTGTATTAGATAAAACCCAAACTCCATTTATGTATTGGCATTCAAGACTTTTCCCTATCAAGCCTGTCCCTGCCTTTCACATCCATCTGCCCAACTACTTATGCTTGAGCCCAGGTATTCTGAACAGTTGTTGGGAGCTGTTCTGCCACAGTAATCTTATTCAGAACCCTTACGTATAGAGCAGTTAGGGCAATTGCTCTGGTCAGAGCACCTCGTCTGCCTGTTCTGCCTGCACAACACTCAGAGCCACCTCCCAGGCTCCAGGTCCAGTGCAGTTTGCAAATACTGCTTTAGCCCCAGGTTGTTACGTCACCACCATTTCCCAGCCTCCATGCAGGCAGCCCCCTTTGCCAAGCATTCTTGCTCCTACCCGCTTCTTTTCAAACCTAACCACCTCTCTCCCGAAGCCTCCCTGTCCCCTTGTAGTGTCTCCTTGGTTTTCACAGCCCCAATGCCTCTCACTCTCTGAGACTTTAATAATATCTGGCCTGGTAACATAAATATATGTGTCCCCACGTGATCTTTCTCACTAGCCCTTGAGCCTCTCCAGGGCGGGATTCCCATTTGAATCACTTCCGGTTTCCCCACAGTGTGTGACAATGGCCTCCAAGTACACTTGTGCCCCACTTTTTGCTACTATTTTATTCACATCGCCCTCCAGTCAGGAGTTCTCCTGCTGTGTTTTAGGCAGGATAATGAAAGTGGGTAAGAGATACAACTCTGTTCTATGACTTCTGAGAAGTTGCTTGACCTCTGTGCCTCCATTTTCCAGCTGAAAGATGGACATAACAACAGAACATTTCTTGTGGGATTATTTTAAGGGTGAGTTGAAGTAATGCGTGGCAAAAACACAGGCCCGGGTCCAGGACCTGGTAGGCATCATTGGAGGAAGGGAAACTGATGCCATGGAATGATGATTCTTAGGTGAACATTCAAGGAGCCATGAAGCGGGGCTCTGCATCAGACACTACGGAACGCTCCCACAGTTTCATGGCTCGCTGGCAGTTGGATATGGCCAAGTGGCACTTGTGATACAGGTTCTGCCAGTGGTAAGTGAGCAAAGTGATGAGCCACCTGCAGGCTGACCCAAGCAAACCCCCTCTCCTGATCCTCCATGCTCTCTCCCAATGGCCAAATGAAGAACTAGGGCCCTTAAGGTCCCCATCACAGCCACAAAATGGAAGGAGCTCAGATCCAGGTTGACCCTGAGGAAGAATGTCTGTTCATCAGGGACACTCAATTGAACTTTACTTGAGTGAGAAAGAGGTTTTTATTGTTTTTAGCTGCCAAAACTTGGGATTTATCACCTGATTAGGGCTAAATTTGTTCAATGCCTCAGAAGGCTCGTTCCATCTTAGGTTGCTGGATACTGTCTACGGCCACTGCACAGCTGCCCCTTGGGGATCTGGAATGTCAATCGCTTGGGAAGACTCACCTGAAGAAGCCAAATATTCCTAGCCGGTACTGCGTGGTCACAACTAGTACGTCCTCATAGGCAGCCAGGGCAGACCCATCGAAGATGGAGGCGGAGCCTGTATCGAAGGCACCCCCCGGGAACCACACCATGACCTGAGGAGGAGCAAGAAACATTCAGTCTGCCCTCCAGGCACCCACATCCCCTCCCCATGTATGTTGGGCATTCTTTCTTCGGGTGAAATATAAATGTCCCGCTTTCTGTGTAGGGTGAGAGGTTTTGTTTTTGAAGAAGGCCCAGGTCTAAGTATGCAAGCTTTAGCATCTAAGTGCCTGGGTTTGATTCCCAGCTCTGACACTGACTGACTGTGCGACTTTGGGTCGATTACTTAACCTCTCTGAAGCACATTTATCTCACCTATAAGATGTGAAGATTGATAGTATCTCACTTATGAGGCTATCATGAGATTTAAACAAGAGTCTGCATTTAAAACTCATAGAACAACGAGCAACAACACATTTCAAGTGCTCGGAAAGTGTTTACTAAATATTAGTGAGCCTGTGACCCACAGGAAGATGGAAATCATTCTAAGTCAAGTGTCAGAGCAAAAGCAGCTCAAGATGTTTTAACCTAAGACTTTTCTCTACTCCCAAAGAGGAGGAAGAGGAGGAGAAGGAGGGGGAGGGGGAGGAGGGGGAAGAAGGAGAGACAAGTGAACGTGTCACTATTTTGATTAGAAAAATTAGGACTGAGGAACATAAAACATTATTCAAATGGTATTGTCACTATTTATACATTTGATAATAAATTCCTAGCCGGGCTCAGTGGCTCAGCTTGTAATCCCGTGCCTTTGGGAGGCTGAGGTGAGTGGATTGCTTGAGCCTGCGGGTTCGAG